CAAATGATTTCTTAGGTTCCTTTTCAAAATATATGTGTGGTCAATTATTCATTCACAGGAATTAGTGACCAGGATTGTGATAATAGCAGGATTGTGGTTATAATTAGCGTTGTGCGTAGTATTGTGGAAGGAGGAATTTTGATGAGGGAGGGAGGGCGAGAATTGAGGTAACCTCATCGTGTGTGTGGCTGCCACTCTTGTTTTGCTCACTATACTAGCTTAGTGGTTCGCTATGGGCAACACATATGTACATGGGTATATATAGTGTGTGTATATAGTGTAAGAACAGCAACAGGAGAATGTTGAGAGGAGCTATTTTGGTGAGGGAGGTGACGTAATCGTAGCGTCGTCTGCTGTGTGATTTTTCATGAAGTGTATTGTGGCCACTGTACTGTTTGGACACAATACCGGCTTACTTGCATAGTTCTGGTAAATAAAACATGTAGATAGGTATATAGAACATGTGTAATAAGAACTATAACAATATGGTGGGATGAGCAATGTTGGCGAGTAAGATGTTGGAGTGAGGGAGACTGGCTGCTCTCACTCGAGGTGTTCTGAATGTGTTCATGGCCAAATGCTCCTATTGGCCCATACGAGGCAGCTGCTATTGGCCCATACGGGAAAGCTGCTATTGGCCCATACGAGGCAGCTGCTATTGGCCCATACGGGGCAGCTGCTATTGGCCCATACGGGGCAGCTGCTATTGGCCCATACGGGGCAGCTGCTATTGGCCCATATGAGGCACCTGCTATTGGCCCATACGAGGCACCTGCTATTGGCCCATACGAGGCAGCTGATATTGGCCCATACGAGGCAGCTGATATTGGCCCATACGAGGCAGCTGATATTGGCCCATACGAGGCAGCTGATATTGGCCCATACGAGGCAGCTGATATTGGCCCATACGAGGCAGCTGATATTGGCCCATACGAGGCAGCTGATATTGGCCCATACGAAATTAGTTCCAAATTAGTTCCATATTAGTTCCAAAGTGTGTTTGTACAAAATGAAATCTTTAGGGAACCAGATACAATAAGAATTCCAGAGAACAATATAGAACACATAGAGGTGTCTAGAGACGAAGTGGAAAAAATGCTCAAGGAGCTCGGTAAGAACAAAGCAGCTGGCCCAGATGGCGTTTCACCATGGGTTCTGAGAGAATGTGCATCTGAGCTCAGCATTCCACTTCACCTGATCTTTCAGGCATCCCTGTGTACAGGAATCGTAGCAGACGGGTGGAAACAGGCTAACATAGTTCCAATCTACAAAAGTGGCAGCAGGGAAGACCCCCTCAATTATAGACCTGTATCATTGACAAGTGTAATAGTGAAAGTATTGGAAAAACTAATCAAAACTAAATGGGTAGAACACCTAGAGAGAAATGATATAATATCAGACAGACAGTATGGTTTTCGATCTGGAAGATCCTGTGTATCGAATTTACTCAGTTTCTATGATCGAGCCACAGAGATATTACAGGAAAGAGATGGTTGGGTTGACTGCATCTATCTGGACCTAAAAAAGGCTTTTGACAGAGTTCCACATAAGAGGTTGTTCTGGAAACTGGAAAATATTGCAACCCGTTCTCGCAAATTTAATAAGTCAATATTGACTTATTAGTTGCGTGCATAGGTGACATACTAAACATAATAGTTTCCCTTGAAAAGCTTCATAGAAAACACCGACCTTACCTAACCTACTTAGTATGTTAAAATAAGCATCTTATAGCTTCGTAATTACAATTGTTACTTAACCTATTATAGGTATAGGTTAGGTAATAATTGTAATTACGAAGCTATAAGATGCTTATCTTAACATACTAAGTAGGTTAGGTAAGGTCGGTGTTTTCTATGAAGCTTTTCAAGGGAAACTATTATGTTAAGTATGTCACCTATGCATATATTTAATAAGTCAATATTGACTTATTAAATTTGCGAGAACGGGTTGAAATATTGGAGGGGTGACAGGTAAGCTTCTATCATGGATGAAAAATTTTCTGACTGATAGAAAAATGAGGGCAGTAATCAGAGGCAATGTATCGGAATGGAGAAATGTCACAAGTGGAGTACCACAGGGTTCAGTTCTTGCACCAGTGATGTTTATTGTGTACATAAATGATCTACCAGTTGGTATACAGAATTATATGAACATGTTTGCTGATGATGCTAAGATAATAGGAAGGATAAGAAATTTAGATGACTGTCATGCCCTTCAAGAAGACCTGGACAAAATAAGTATATGGAGCACCACTTGGCAAATGGAATTTAATGTTAATAAATGTCATGTTATGGAATGTGGAATAGGAGAACATAGACCCCACACAACCTATATATTATGTGAGAAATCTTTAAAGAATTCTGATAAAGAAAGAGATCTAGGAGTGGTTCTAGATAGAAAACTATCACCTGAGGACCACATAAAGAATATTGTGCAAGGAGCCTATGCTATGCTTTCTAACTTCAGAATTGCATTTAAATACATGGATGGCGATATACTAAAGAAATTGTTCATGACTTTTGTTAGGCCAAAGCTAGAATATGCAGCTGTTGTGTGGTGCCCATATCTTAAGAAGCACATCAACAAACTGGAAAAGGTGCAAAGACATGCTACTAAATGGCTCCCAGAACTGAAGGGCAAGAGCTACGAGGAGAGGTTAGAAGCATTAAATATGCCAAAACTAGAAGACAGAAGAAAAAGAGGTGATATGATCACTACATACAAAATAGTAACAGGAATTGATAAAATCGACAGGGAAGACTTCCCGAGACCTGGAATTTCAAGAACAAGAGGTCATAGATTTAAACTAGCTAAACACAGATGCCGAAGAAATATAAGAAAATTCACCTTCGCAAATAGAGTGGTAGACGGTTGGAACAAGTTAAGTGAGAAGGTGGTGGAGGCCAAGACCGTCAGTAGTTTCAAAGCGTTATATGACAAAGAGTGCTGGGAAGACGGGACACCACGAGCGTAGCTCTCATCCTGTAACTACACTTAGGTAATTACACTTAGGTAATTACGAGGCAGCTCCTATTGGCCCATACGAGGCAGCTCCTATTGGCCCATACGAGGCAGCTCCTATTGGCCCATACGAGGCAGCTCCTATTGGCCCATACGAGGCAACTGATATTGGCCCATACGAGGCAGCTGCTATTGGCCCATACGGGGCAGCTGCTATTGGCCCATACGGGGCAGCTGCTATTGGCCCATACGGGGCAGCTGCTATTGGCCCATACGGGGCAGCTTCTATTGGCCCATACGGGGCAGCTGATATTGGCCCATACGGGGCAGCTGCTATTGGCCCATACGGGGCAGCTGCTATTGGCCCATACGAAGCAGCTGCTACGCGGTGTTCTGAATGTGTTGATGGTGAATGTATATAGTGTGTGACAGTGTATAGTGTGTAAATAGATTGTATATATACACAAATTAGCATGATACATAGTAAATATGTGCTGCATATGTGTACACAAGTTTCATGCACGTAACACAGTGTCTACGGACAGTACGGATGTTGTACTGCGATATTATAGTGTACGTGTTCATTATACATTGGATTGGCACATAAAAACAATGAAAATGTATTTGGAAAGGTGCGCAAAAAATTAACGAAAATATATTCGCGGCAACTTGCGCGCCCCGCCCCGAGCGCCCCACCACCCCCCAGAGCTTACGGCACGGGCGCACGGGGAATGATGACGTCACGCCCCAACTTCCGGACCCCATAGCAGCCAAAGTAAGTACAATTTCGACTTTTTTTTTACATACCCATACTGAGGGAAGGGTTTTTGACACTTTAAAAAGAAAAAAGAATTTTTTCCAGAGAATTTATTTCCTGAGCACTGCGGGGGTGTCACATTTGGAGGCAACGCAGTTAAGGGGTTAATAACTTGATCACACTGACGAGCTGAAAATAGCACTAGTATCTACGTTTGTGGAAATACTCACTCTGGCTCTAGCGTCCACCTGTGCACCATTCCTCAAGAGAATGCGGATAATGTCCGTCTGATTTGCTCTTGCAGCCAGGTGGAGTGGAGTCTCTCCCCGCACAGTTGGTACATCAGCAGAGGCTCCATGTTGGATTAGGTAGATCACAATATTCATGCAGCCCATAAAGGATGCTACATGAAGAGGGGTCAGACCAGACTGTTGAAAACAAATTTTAGTCCAGATAAAAATGGCATTCTTTGGATGAACATGAGTTTGAGGAGACAAAGAAACAGAGAGGAGGGAAAGGGGCAAAGAGGAGGGAAAGGGACAAAGAGGAGGGGAAAGAGACAAAGAGGAAGGAAGGAGGAGAGGGGATGAAGGGGGAGAGGGTGAAAAAGGGAGGAGTGGGAGAAGGGGAGAGAGGGGAGGAGGAGGAAGATGGGGAAAAGGGGGAAGAAGGGAGGGAAAGGGGGAAAAGGGGGAAGAAGGGAGGGAAAGGGGGAAAAGGGGGAAGAAGGGAGGGGAAGGGGGAAAAGGGGGAAGAGGGGGGGAAGGGGGAAGAGGGGGGGAAGGGGGAACAGGGGGGGAAGGGGGAAGAGAGGGGGAAAAGAGGGAGACAGGCATATTTTCTTTGAAAGTATAATTAGAATGAATCACACTGTCGTGTAGGAAATGGCAAGTGAAAATATCCCATTAACTATCTAGCAATACTGAAATAACAAATCTTTGATAAACAGTATAACAATTAGAAATCAATAAACATTTGAAATTTGCCAAGTTGTAATTAAACTTGCTTATTGCAAAATAATAGACCTACCTCCGTAGTAGCCTCAATGCTAGCACCGTGTTTGAGGAGCAACTCCACCACCTTGATACGGTTCTTCTTACAAGCAATGTGGAGAGGTGTGAAACCATTCAGAGCACGAGAATTTGGATCTGCTTTACGATCTAGAAGCAATTTTGCCACTCGCACATGTCCACAGTGAGCTGAAATATGGAACAGTTATAGGACAAAGGAAAACCACAGAATACCCCATACCTCTATATATTTCTTAATACAAAAATTAAATGCTTTCATCCATTCAACTTTCTGGCATTTAGTGTTCTCTGGAAAAAAACTTATTCCTGTAACATTTTTCAATATTTTGTGTGTAAAGTCAATAATCACCTTATCACCTTTTCAATGCATGCCTCACACTCCTTTACTATTTCCCAGAACATTCTTCAAATGTAATCAATCAGTCACCTGATAATCCAATTACTGACAGCTACAGTACCTATTATTTTTGTTACAATCAAAACATTAACAAGAGCCATGTACAATCTTAACACTTTCGCCCGGGCATGACGCAGCATTGCGTCATCCGTTTACTGGCGGTAATACCGGGGATGACGCAGCATTGCGTCATCCACTTTAAATAATCGCCAAAAATCAGGTTTTTATCCGATTTTTTGGGGACTGGTTTTAAAATGTGCGCCGATGTCTTCCCATTTTCGTTGTTGAGCCTCGTGGCCCTCAGGTGGCTTGGCACACGATGTCGGCCCATTGTTTTCGCTCCACTGTTGTGACCAATGTCGCCTCCCCTCACATCTCAAACATGTGAACATTTTGTCTATTTTCCATGGCTATATTTCTTACTGCGGCTTTAGAAACTATCTACGCTTACTCCACGATGGATAGTGATCATGAACAAGGCCCTTCCAGGAAGAAAATTGTGAAAGAAAGGCTTGAAAAGGAAGGGAATTGGGAGTGTAGCTGGAAGGCGTCTGAGCGCTCACTTGCGACTAACGTGTGGCCCGTCTTCAACTCGTCGGCGGTTGGAGCGTGACCAGGTTTTTTATTTTATATGCTAATGTTCCTCTAGAGAATTCTATTGCGAACCCATTGAGACCAAAATGAAAGACCTAGGACAAAAATTGAGGTGACTAGAGTGAAAATAGTGAAAACATTTTATCGCGTTTGCGCACTCCTGGGTAACTCATTCGCACTTTCTCTGTTTGCTGCGGGTAATTAGCCGGGCTTTTGAAGTTTATATGCATTTAGTGCTGTAGAGAATTCTATTGCGAACACAATGATACCAAATTTAATCTCGTAGGACGAGAATTAAGGTGACAAAGTTGAAGATAGTATGCACTTTTCAGAATTTACGCGCGCTCCCATGACACCCTGGGTCCCATATCGCACAGTTGAAGGGTGGCGTGCGGGGTATGCCAAAGTGTTAATACAAAACTTAAAAATTTCCACATTATGTTTCCCAGCTTAAATTTCCAAGAATTAGTTATTTTTGCAATCATAACTGCTTTTACTACAATAATTTGTTTCAATAATATGTAGTTACATTTCCAGGGCTAATTTAGTTTGCATTATCAGACTAAACTATTTTCTTCAGTTTGTTACAATCATTAATGCCTTGACTACTTAACTCTGCCCACATCACACAAAATGTAGTTTTAAGCTATGATAATCAAAGATATTCAAACATTCCCCAAGTAACTTGAAATTTCTTACCAGCAACATGGAGAGCTGTAAGAAAATCTACTGTAACATCATCAACAGGAGCCTTGTGGTAAAGAAGGATGCGAGCAGCATCAACGTGGTCACCCTGTGAAGCCATATGAAGTGGAGCCAACCCATTCTGAAAGGAAGACAAATATACAAATATCACTTCTATGCTGCATCTCGTCTGCAACCTCAAAATCCTAACTAGGTCTGTTTCAATCACACGTGGACACTTGGGATAAGGATTCCTAGGATGCAGCATGTCATGACACAAACAGGCAGGTATAACATGTCACTTAAAACTAATAGGGGGTTGAAATTTTTTAAATAAATTATAGCTTTGCAAAAATATTCATAGAAATTACTTTTTGGTACTGTATTACCAAATTTATGTATACAAGCATATAAATTTATATTTATAATTAAACTAAATACTCACTTTGGTTTTACTCGTAATTGGAGCACCCTTTTCTAGCAGCATATCAACAACAGTCTCATGTCCTGATCTTGCAGCACAGTGAAGAGGTGTAAGCCCATCCCTGGTCTTGGCTTCGTAGTTAGCTCCTTTGTCTATCAACAGCGATACCATATTTCCTTTACCCCATTTGGATGCAACATGAAGTGGTGTGATTTGGTGCTGTTGATAAAATAACTTGAATTAATTGAAGTCATTTGAATTTGTCTTAATATACAATCAACAAATACAGGTACAAACAATGCAGTTAAATAAATTGGTTATTCTTAAGGTACTGTAGTTAAAACAACTTTATATACAGTAGTTTACTGAAGTATTTAATTTAGATTTACTGAAGTTTGCCTATCATTAAACTGTGCAGTAAAGTTCTACAAGTTCCTGTGTTCAAGGAAAACTTGATCCAGCTGGAGTCCAAATGTAAGAGAGTTATGACCTTCTTACATTATTTTGATTTAATTTCCTTTGTTTCACCGATAATAAAAAATATTTAACAGTTCAAAAATATTATTCTTGCTATTATACATATAGCAAAATTGCCAATTGCCAATAAATAAATATCCTCAATCGCAAATATTTATCAAAGTCTTTAAGAAATTATATACAAAGAAAGAAAATGTAAAAATAGGGCCTAACTCGAAGGCCAAATTTAAGGAACTGATTTTAACTAACATGTAATTTTGCATATCAAAGTAAATATATGCAATTTCTATTTCATTTTTTCTTATATACAGTAATCCAGATTTTTAATTGTCATTTAGAAAGAAGAAACTTATACTTTTTTAAACAGATTTTAAAATGTTCATTATCAGTTATAACAAATGTTTCTCAAAGTCAAGTTGCACCAAGAAGGTCCAACACCATTAACTACAGATAATCAGGACTCCACTCTCCTTAAATTTATAAGTAATACACAGAACTACACTATCTGACCAACCTTGGCAATGTAGTTGACATCAGCCCCACGCTGAATTAAGAGGTTTGCAATGTTTTCGTTGCCATAGTGAGCAGCAATATGTAGTGGTGTAAACCCCGACTTGGAGGTGACATCTGGGTTGTGGTCAGTGTGAAGAAGCAGTGCTGCAGCTTTTGTGTCATCCTTTTTAGCAGCAATGTGAAGAGCAGGGAGGCGCACCTTGCCTCTTGTGTCGTTTTCCAGCAGAACTGCTACAACTTTGTCATGTCCCTGCTGCAGGGCAACTGCCAATGGGGTAAACCCATCCTAGGAATAAACAAAAGAAATAAATGTAAATAAGTCATTAAAATATATTTTTGTAGTATGCAATGGTATATCAGGAACTTGTATATATTACATAGAAGATAAACACATTCAAACATTCATAGGTAAAAGTGTACAATATTTTGTCTCCTCATTTCCCACTGCCATAACACCATATTATAAAAATTAAGAACACTGCATAAGGACTGTTGGCCAATACAAAGCAACTCCTTATTATACCTGGAGTAGGTTCTGGGAGTTGTTCTATTTCCCAAATCAGTCTGAGGACCAGATTCACCCAAACTCATTCATTGAAACAATCCAGCACTCCCACATCTATTATCTTACTCTTTAATTTATGCCATAAACCAACAATCCTTTCTTTTCAAAACAATATTAACCCCAACCCGTTCTCGCAAAATTAATAAGTCAATATTGACTTATTAAATATGTGCATAGGTGACATACTTAACATAATAGATACCCTTAAAAAGATTCATAGAAAACACCGACCTTACCTAACCTACTTAGTATGTTAAGATAAGCATCTTATTGCTTCGTAATTACAATTATTACCTAACCTATAATAGGTATAGGTTAAGTAATAATTGTAATTACGAAGCAATAAGATGCTTATCTTAAGATACTAACAAGGTTAGGTAAGGTCGGTGTTTTCTATGAATCTTTTTAAGGGTATCTATTATGTTTAGTATATCACCTATGCACGTAGTTAATAAGTCAATATTGACTTTACGAATTTGCGAGAACGGGTTGGCAAACCCAGGTCTTCTTTAAATCTTTAACACTTTCGCGCTATCTGGACGCGCCGGCGCGTTCGGTTTCGTCTAACGTAAACGCATAGTGGACATAAAGTTATGTCAACTTTTAAAATATTTGTATAAAATTCAATTTTAATCCGATTTCATTGGGGTTTGTTTCAAACGACGCGCCATGAAGTTCTCTTTCTCACCACTAGGCCGCCTGGCGCGTCGGCCTACCCGGTCACGTGACGGGCCCATTGTTTTCGTGACACGTGTCGTGAGTCGATCACGCTCCCCTCACGCGCCAAACTCGAGCATTTTTGCCCGTTTCCGTGTGGATTATACCCAATTACTTCATCAAAAATGGATCAAGGTCAAGGCCCAAGCACTTCTACGCCCAAGGAAGCCTCCAGGTCATCGAGAGTGGACAAAATAACCCAAATTTTTAAGAAGTGGAGCGGAGTGAAGCTCACACCAACAAAAATTCCAGGCCTTGTGGAGGATTTATCAGAAGCTGAAGGTGATGTAGAGGTATTGGAGGAAGATTTTGGAATCCACAACGATTATAGTGTACCTAGAGCTAGAGGGAATGATACGGCAACGAGTGATGAGGAGTGATCATGAAAGGTGTGGACCACTTCGATCAAATGGTTAAATATTACCATTTTACCAGGAAAACTCACAAGTGGACCAAAAAGATTACCTTTTATTTCCTGCAAATGGCATTGCATAATGCCTATGTTTTGTACAAATACAACACAACTGATCGAAAAAAGCTAACATTGCTACAGTTCCACGAAGTGGCAATCTGGGCCCTATTGCACTGGGACACAGAGGAGTGGCCTAAAACATCATCATCATCTCAACACTTGCGGCACGCTCCAGACATAAATGATGACACAGCTCCTGCCAATGCTGACGCCATGCCAACTCCCGGACCATCTGGTGTGAGGCGGCCTTTGTTCACTACACCACCTCAAGATGAAGCAGACAACGAATCTGAACCCGACATGTCTGCCACACTGCCAGTTGACGAAACTGTTTTGTCAGATGAATCTGACTCTCCTGCAACTCCTGTTACACCTCCAGCGAGAGGACCTGGCCGCCCTATTGTTGATTCAGAAAATCGCATGAACTACAAACTGAAACATGAAATTTACAGACTGCCCAAACGTCTCAAGTGTCATGCATGCGCACGGTCCGGTAAAAGGAAGGACACGAACTATGGATGCAAGACCTGTGGTGTTGCACTCTGTGTTGTTCCCTGCTACACCAATTACCACCGGAAACAGGTGTATTGGGTGGTGAAGAAGTAACCACCCGCAACAGCTTCACTCCACCTACAAACCATCTGTTGAGCAACTTCAGGAATGAAGAACCTGAAGAAGGTGGAGTGAAGAACAAATGCTCAACTTACTGTTCCACAACCAGCCTTCCCTTGGTAAGTACACCTATTTGGTCCAAGTTTGTGTAGTATAATTTAGCTCATAGAACATTCTATTGCGAAAACATTGCCACAAAAATGAATGACATACATACAATAATAATATCAGAACAGTGAAATAAGTATAAACTTTCAAAGCAACGTTTCGCGCGTGTGTCGTCCGGTCACCGTTACCGGGTAACAGTGCGCCCACTTCCCACACTCTTGCGGGTGGGCCGGGACCATTATTCTACGATTATATTCATATCACCGTGTTGGGAATTTTATTGGGAGTCCATTGATACCAAAATTAAGGCTGTAGGACAATTGTAGAGGTGATAATAATCCCAAGAGTAAAAACATTTTGTTGCTGTTGAGCGCTCACGGCGACTCATCTTCGTAGTTATTTATTTCATGCTGGTATCTCTATAGCTTTCGTGACTTTTTTTACTGATGTTCTTCTAGAGAATTTTATTGCGAACACGTTGATACCAAAATGAAATACGTAGCATGAAAACTAAGGTCAGAAAAGTAAAAAGAGTATACACATTTTTGTTTTTACGCTTAAGCCATAAAAACGCCGCGCGCACATACGGTTGGCTGAGTGACCTTCGCCGAGAGCGCGAAAGTGTTAATATGCATAAACACAGCTTGGAAAGTAAACACAAATGGGTAATATGGAACAGTTGAAAAGCTTGATTTTAGGAGAGGACACTATGGGGGAACTTAGCAAATTTGTTAATAAATTTGATTGGAAAGACTTGCTGTTAGGCAATAAAGTAAATGAGATACATGCCACATTTTGTGAGATACATAATGAAAGCACAAACAAATTTATACCAAAACAGAGATGCAGAACCAGAATACAGGATTAGTTCAACAGAAATTGCAAGAGGACCAAAGAACACAAGACAAAAAAAAATATGGGTTCAGTATAGAATCCATATAAAAATATGGGTTCTAAAGGTGTTAAATATGATACGAGAAAATTTGAGTTCTGTATTGCCAGCAATACAAACAAGCAAGAAACAACTATATGAAATGAGGAGAGGCAGAAAGAAGCTTTGAGAAAGAAATAATGGACAAGTGTAAAACAAAACCAGGCCTATTCTATAAATTTATAAAATTAAATTGCAGATAAAGGATAAGATCCAGAGGTTGAAAATGGAGAACAGATTCCCAGAGAAAGAAAAGGAAATAATGTGTAAAACACTAAATGAACAGTTACAAAGTATATTTGTACAATATTAAATTTTCAGAGAATCAGGCACAAATTTCAGAGAATAAAAAAAGTACATAGTGGGCTCTATGATAGAGCCACAGAAATTTTACAGGAAAGGAAGATGGGTTGACTGCATTTATCTGGATCTAAAAAAGGCTTTTAACAGAGTCCCACATACATGGTTGTTCTAGAAACAGTAATATACTGGAGGGGTGACAGGGAGGCTTCTGACATGGTTGAAAAATTTTCCGAGAGAAAAATGAGGGTGGTAATCAGAGGCAATGTATCAGAGTGGATAAATTTTACAAGCGGGATATCATCAGGTTCAGTTCTAGTGCCAGTAATGTTCACTGTCTATATGAATGATCTACCAGAAGGACCACCAAGCTATATGAACATGTTTGCTGATGTTGCCAAGCTACTAGAATATAAGAAGCTTAGATAATTGTCATGCCCTTCAAGATGACCTTAACAAAAGTGTATGGAGCAACACTTGGCTGATGGAATTTGATGTGGATAAATGCAAGTTTATGGAATGTGGAAAAGGAGAAAATAGATTACTCACAACATACAAATTATGTGAAAAGACTTTAAAAAAAAACTCTGCTAAAGAAATACACATGGAAGACCCTGGAGAGCCAGGTCCCAAATCTACACAATAAATTAACAACTTACTGAAGTGAATGATATGGAAGAAAATGCAGAATATAACCAGTGAAGAGCAGAGGTGCCATAAGCACAATCAGAACACTGTATAAACATCAGAGGTCCACGGTTGTTCAACATCCCCCAGCAAGTAAAACAAATATTGCCAAAACAACCGTGGATATCTTCAAGAGAAAACTAGACAGTTTTCTTCAAGAAGTGCTGGACCCGGCTGTGGTGGATATGTGGCCCTGCGAGCCACTCCAAGCAACAGCCTGTTGGACCATGCTCTCACAAATCAAGCTGGCCTCGAGCTAGGCTTGGGGAGTAGAAGAACTCCCAGCACCCCATCAAGCAGGTATCAAGCAGAATAGAAACTCACCTGAGGACTACATAAAGAGCATTGTGCAAAGAGCCTATGCTATGCTTTCCAACTTCAAACTTCACTTTTAAATACATGAATGACAAAATACTAAAGAAATTGTTCACGACCTTCGGTGCTCATATCTCTAGATGCACATCAATAAACTGGAAAAGGTGCAAAATCATGAAACTAAATGGCGTCCAAAACTGAGAAACAAGAGGTATGAAGAGAGGCTAAAGGTGTTAAATACTGTAAATCAAAGCTAGAAGAAAGAATACAAATTATTTGGAGTAAATAAAATAACATGGGAATGGACTAACACAAATGTATGAGAAAATCAAGTTAAATTGTGGTAATAGACTAGGTGAACTAGACCAGCACATCCTGCCATGAGAGACTGTCTTGGCCAAATGGTCTAAAAAGAAAATATTGCAATATAAAAAATCCCTCCATGTGGTGCAAGGAAACTTGGCACAGAGATGGGCTAATCACAGTTCTTGTGATTGGTGTTACTCTTGGCCCCAAAAATTGTACTTCATATATCTATCATTCATCACTTAACAACATTGTAGCATTTGTGGCTGGCAGAAGCTGGTAGTAGGTATTTACAGAATACTGTACTAGTTTATCACATCACTTGGTGTTGTATGAAGCAGAACAGAAGAGGTTGTGGAAACTAGAGGGCTATAACCAAATTCTTCCAAGATGGGAATTAATTTATAATGTGTGAAACCTTTATGTGAATGGTTTAGTACAGAATAAAGGAAATCCCCCACATCCATTCTTAACATTATGTCAGTACATTACAAACTATAGTTATGCAAGTTAAACCATGACTTCTAAAAGCTAAATTCAATGTGAATATATATACTGTATAAATAATGAGCTCAACATGCATGTTAACAAGCGAGCGTAATACCCTGTGCTTGAAAAGCTTTACTCCTAACATCAAATTATAGGTAAGGCAAGTAAAAGGAACGGTGATTACAATAAGGGGGTCTTGTTATGAATAAAGAATAACAAGGATATGTAAATTATTAAATATTTGCAATTATACTGGCAATATATTTCCAATTAAGATTAAACACACATTATAAAACTACCAACACAAATACAGTACTATAAAAATATTTTGAGCCAATTACAGTTTTGTCTTATTTCTAATGTAATAATGCAACAATAATCAAAACATATTCCTTCAACTCAACCAACTGACCCTAATGATTTGAGCAATAATTTCATTGAAAAGAATTATGAATAACGTATTGATATTGCAACTTTCAATGTGCTTCCCCATATTGCTAGCTCTTACCTCTGTAGCAAGGCTCTGGTTAGCATTGTTGGCCAACAGGAATCGCACAACCGAGTCGTGGTTCTCCTGTGCAGCCATGTAGAGTGGAGTGAATCCATTCTGGGACTGAATGTTCACCAGTGCCTGGTGTTGCACAAGCACTTTCACAATCTCCTCCTGACCAGCTGAAACACACACAAAACAATACATCATTCTGATGGATGTAAGTATGTGACATAAAAAGGATGAAGTTATGTGATACTAACTTCCATTATTAATATCATTGAATCATTCAAATTTACACATCCAAATCATAGACAAATTCTTTCCCTGAGTATATTTGCATGTCTTATTCTTAAGGCAACTAAAAATTTGTAGTAAGATCAATTAAAGAGTAAAAAAATTACAACTCTTGGCAAAGCTTGTCAACCTTCCTGAGATTTGGTTTGTGCAAACATTCCAAAGCCTGCTGTAGCCAAGTTTATGTATCTACAGTATCCATTATGTATATCTTTCTTTTTTAAACATTCACTTAAGATCATCATCTTAATTTTGTTTTTTATAAACAAACTATTTTTTTCAATTAGACAATTTTATGCTACAGCCAAGACATTCTTTAAAACTCGGCTCCCATTTCTTGAAATTTAATTACGGTGTAACGCTTAACATGAATCAATGGAAAGACTCAACCCTTTCTGTATTGGAGAACATATAAAAAACTTACAATTATATGAACTGAAAATAGATATGATAGATATTATTATAATAAATACATGTCCTATGTTGTTAGAGTTTGTTTTAACTTTGCATCTAGAAATTACCCACCACGGGGGAAAAAAAACAGACACATAGTTGAATGCATTTAAATAGTCTTACTAAAACGTAGAGATGCAATTAGCAGACATGAGTTGATAAATCAACACTCGACCCTCTTAAATCCATCAATACCATACAACATGTATTTAATCTATTTCAGTATGTATATATTCAACCCTTCTTACACCATCATATGAGTCAGTACACACTGCCGTCAATCTTACCAAGGGATGCAATATGTAATGCAGTATTGCCCTTCTTGGTGGCAGCATCAACATTGGCACCACGCTGTAAGAGCTCCCTCACAACATTTACATGGCCTTCCTTGCTTGCCAGGTGAAGAGCGTTCAACCCATTCTGAAATGATGAATTAAATATTAGTCAACTGTACTGTGGTCAGATGAAAAAGGTAGGCCTAGCCTTATACCTTTTTGATTATCATATATTTCTGATGCAAAGGCATTATCTCCATTAATGAACATCTCTGCTGCCATGAATACAACCTTCCCTATTGTGGCATCATCTTCATTGCAATTATTAGTAGTGATATAATTACTCCCACTATTTAAATGCCATTTTCATTGTAGGAACTATCATAACCTACAGTTTAAGCGCTATTTTCACTTGCTGTATAAATAATAATTATTTTTAATAGAACTAATGAGCAAAAAAGTTCTACTATTTTAAACACAAAAGTATTATCATGTGAGGTGGGAAGGTGGGCATCAGCAGGAAGGACATAAGGGTGATCCTACCACCACCCTATTGTACTGTACTTCAAACCCCCCTACCACTCCCTACCACTGGCACCTATTTAACAATTGTTAAATGCCTGTGATATATCTTTCACTTTAAATTTAAAATTGATTATCACCACACCATAATTCTGGGGCCAGATTCAAGAAGAAATTATGCCGGTCCTTAGGAAACTTTTCCTTCTTATCACACTTCTCGGCAGTAATGCAGTGATTCAACAAACTATTTACAAACACAAATCTTCCTAAAACATAACTTCCCACCACAAGACCTCGGAAGCACTCCCAACTTTACATAAACCATACATAAGTCGTGTTTTCTCAACTACACAATGCATTTCTTCCCCCATTAAAATTCTGCAGGTTAAAGTTGAATATAAATCCTCCATGTGCCTCTATGAATAATTATGCATTTTATGAAGAGACAAATACAAATTATCATAGCAAGATATTATGGCTGTAGTTACTAAATAAGTAAACACAGCTGAGCGTTAAATCTCAGAGCAGCTAAAGACTGCTAAATTCTTCGTTCTCTCCAGAGGACCTTTCTTCGGTCTAATGATAATTAAAAATCCTTGTGAATCTCTAATTGCCATTAAATATGTATTTTGCAAAAAAGATAATATACTGTATATACTAGTATAACATCACAGCGTATTATATGAATAACCATTAAGTAAATATTAAGTGCTAAACATGATCTCAAAAAGAAAAGTCAGTGCCTGGGTTACAAGCAAGATATGTTTTTATATTATTTTTTTTTTTACTGTTAAATGTAGTTCACCAATAAGGTTGTCAATTACTGTATTTTTAAAAATATAGGCCTGCATATTAAATAATTAATGTCAAATCATAACATGAATACTAAGCCAGTGAATTCTGATTACAAAAATTAGTTTATAACTTTACTTTTTATATGCCTGCATTATCACTGTACTGTACAGTACTTTGAAATAGTTCATCCAGAAAAAATGCATAAAAAGTATAAAATACTAAATATGACAAAACCCTTACCAAACTTCACCAAGACCAAAATTTCAAGCACTGTTATTAAATTCAGGCCTCTTTTAACAAAAAAATTCAGAATAAGCTTTATAACTATGAAATGTCTACTGTCTGTGTAATGGATCTGGTAATGACATTAGAATTGTAACAAATTTTACTCTATCCTGGGACCTCTGTTGTTTATAATATATATAAATGATTTAGATTCAGGTTTGAGTAGCAACATTTGCAAATTTGCCGATGATACGAAAATCGGTAGGGAAATTAATTCGGAGGAGGACTCACTATCACTTCAAGTTGATCTAGATAGGGTTTTGAAATGGTCAAAGGATTGGCAGATGCAGTTTAATGCTGATAAATGTAAAGTTCTGAGGCTAGGTAATGATGATAGAGTTACAAGATACGAGCTAGATGGTGTTGTGATTGCGAAGTCGGATTGCGAAAGGGATCTGGGAGTTATGATTAGTAAGAATTTAAAACAAAAAGATCAATGCATAAATGTTCGTAATAAGGCAAATCGGACACTTGGATTTATTAATCGCAGCGTTAGTAACAAGACACCTGGTGTGGTTCTCAAGCTATATCTTGCTCTAGTTAGGCCCCATTTAGATTATGCAGTTCAGTTTTGGTCGCCATATTATAGAATGGATATAAATTCACTTGAACGTGTCCAGCGTAGGATGACTAAGTTAATTCCCCAAATTAGAAATCTTTCATATGAAGAAAGATTAACAAAGCTTAAGTTGCATTCACTGGAAAGGCGAAGAGTTAGGGGTGACATGATAGAGGTTTACAAGTGGATGAATGGACATAACCGGGGGGATATTAATAGGGTATTAAAAGTATCAACACAGGACAGAACACGAAACAATGGATATAAATTGGATAAGTTTAGATTTAGGAAAGACTTGGGTAAATACTGGTTCAGTAACAGGGTTGTTGATTTGTGGAACCAATTGCCGCGTAACATTGTGGAGGTGGGGTCCCTCGATTGTTTCAAGCACGGGTTGGACAAGTATATGAGTGGGATTGGGTGGTTATAGAATAGGAGCTGCCTCGTATGGGCCAATAGGCCTTCTGCAGTTACCTTTGTTCTTATGTTCTTATGTTCTTATGTTCTTATCCAATTTATACCCATTGTTTCGTGTTCTGTCTTGTGTTGATACTAGTAATACCCTATTAATATCCCCCCTTGTTATGTCCATTCATCCACTTCTAAACCGCTATCATGTCACCCCTAACTCTTCGCCTTTCCAGTGAATATTCTCATTATATAATTGTCTCCACTATACATAAGAACAAAGGCAACTGCAGAAGGCCTATTGACCTTTTTTTAGGGTTTTTAGGGTTTTGAAATGATCAAAGGATTGGCAAATGCAGTTTAATGCTGATAAATGTAAAGTTCTGAGGCTAGGTAATGATGATAAAAGTTACAAGATACGAGCTAGATGGTGTTGAGATTGAGAAGTCGGATTGCGAAAGGGATCTGGGAGTTATGATTAGCAAGAATTTAAAACAAAAGGATCAATGCATGAATGTTCGTAATAAGGCGAATAGGACACTGGGATTTATTAATCGAAGTGTTAGTAACAAGACACCTGGTGTGGTTCTTAAGCTATATCTTGCTCTGGTTAGGCCCTATTTAAATTATGCAGTTCAGTTTTGGTCGCCGTATTATAGAATGGATATAAATTCACTTGAACGTGTCCAGCGTAGGATGACTAAGTTAATTCCCCAAATTAGAAATCTTTCATATGAAGAAAGATTAACAAAGCTTAAGTTGCATTCACTGGAAAGGCGAAAAGTTAGGGGTGACATAATAGAGGTTTACAAGTGGATGAATGGACATAACAGGGGGATATTAATAGGGTATTAAAAATATCAACACAAGACAGAACACGAAACAATGGGTATAAATTGGATAAGTTTAGATTTAGGAAAGACTTGGGTAAATACTGGTTCAGTAACAGGGTTGTTGATTTGTGGAACCAATTGCCGCGTAACGTGGTGGAGGTGGGGTCCCTCGATTGTTTCAAGCGCGGGTTGGACAAGTATATGAGTGGGATTGGGTGGTTATAGATAGGTGCTGCCTCGTATGGGCCAATAGGCCTTCTGCAGTTACCTTTGTTCTTATGTTCTTATGACCCACACAAGGCAGCTCCTATTTATAACCACCCAATCCCACTCATATACATGTCCAACCCACGTTTGAAACAATCGAGAGACCCCACCTCTATCACGTTACGCGGTAATTTGATCCACAAATCAGCAACCCTGTTACCGAACCAGTATTTACTCTTAAATCTAAACTTATCCAATTTATACCCATTGTTACGTGTTCTGTCTTGTGTTGATACTTTTAATACCCTATTAATATCCCCTTTGTTATGTCCATTTATCCACTTGTAAACCTCTATCATGTCACCTCTAACTCTTCGCCTTTCCAGTGAATGCAATTTAAGCTTTGTTAATCTTTCTTCATATGAAAGATTTCTAATTTGGGGAATTAACTTTGTCATCCTACAGAGTTGCACAGCGCCTGCAGATCGTGCTGTGCAAATGTCTTTCTTCACCCTCAGAAAATCCTCCGCTTTCCTGCGTAATGGAGTGGTCATTTCTTCGATCTCCCTGCTTAGGTTTATTTTTTTTTCTTCTGATAGTTGTGTCTGCCGAAGCATTTCCGTTATTTTTCTCCTTCTCCTGTACAGTCGTCTGCATTCTCTTTCTAGAGTGGTCCTCTTTCTGCCCCTCCTCACAGGCGCGTGCTTCATGCAGACCTTGTAAGCTTCAGCTGTCAGTTGACCTATTCCCTGTGTGGGAGTTTTGTCGCTTAAGACCGTATCCCATTGAATGGTTGCAAGGTCTACATTTATTTTTTCCCAGTCGATCCTCTTATTGTTGAAATTGAATTGATTGAATACTCCTCCTCGCTTGTTGGGTCTCTTAGACCTACTACCGTTATTTATGCTAGTTCGCACTTCAATGAGCTTATGGTCCGAGTATGTAGTACAGTATCTGAGATTGTGATGTCTCTGATTAGTTCATCATTGTTTGTGAATAACAAGTCTAGTGTGTTTTCGTTCCTAGTTGGTTCTGTAATCTGTTGATTTTGCGAGAATTTGTTACAATCTCAAAAGTTCTCTGACCTGTGGTTGGTTATTTCCCGGGTCATTCCCTGCTATGATATTTGTGTTTGCCATTCTCCATCTTAGACTCAGTAAATTGAAATCTTCAAAGATGATAATATCTGAAGCTGGGTTTGCTAGGTTATCAAGGATGTTCTCTATTTTGTGCATCTGCTCTATGAAAGATGTGTCTTTCTGTGTCTCCCGCTACAGGTAAGGAGCATAACTGGCCGGCCTCTCACAGTGTTCAAGAGACAACTCGATAAACACATTCAAAGAATACCTGATCAACCAGGCTGTGATTCATATGACAGGTTGCGAGCAGCCGCGTTCAATCAGGGAGTTTCCGGTTAGTTCACCCGGTCTCCCAGTTGGAGACCGCTGATCCCCGAAAGCTACACAAGGTGGACGAGAAGACCGCCAACTAGGATACTCTGTCAAAGACCGGGTCGTGGGGCACTGTCCCCCGGAA